TCTTGCTTTCCTGTAATTTCAGCTTTGGGATTGCCCCCCAAAATCAACTTGCTTAACAACAAACATTCCCATTTGCTAGGCACTGTGCTAGTGTCAGGGTTACAAAAATGAAAAGATACATTCCTGTCCTGTTTGTGGAAAAGGAAAAGACACAGAGACGATGGCAAGATACTATGCCAGCTTCCTTGACACTTGGAAAGGAATAGATATAGGTCTTCTAGACATGCACAAACAGTAGATAAGCTAGCATACAAGGAATTGTGGAGTCTGTGTAAACATAATCTTTTTATTTAGAATAGTTTAAGATTTGCAGTACAGTTTCAAGAGTAGTACAGATAGTCCCATATACCATCCCCCAGTGATGGAATTAAGGAACTATAAAAATATGCAGAATTTTTATATGAATTTCTTTTGGGGACACTTTCATTTCAGCTTAAGAAATAAAGCAAGAGATTTTTAAATTCTAAGCACTAGCAGATAGGAAATCCATTTGTTCATTCGCTCAAGGAGCACTTGATGAGTTTTGACCATGTATAAGTTAAATACCTGTCCTCAGTTGCCTGGGGGATTAAAGAATGAGTAATGACAGGCTCCTTCTACTTGAGATGTTTACAGTCTACTTGGAAAGTGATCAAATACACGTGGATCACCCTGACAACAAAGTCCTAAAAATTAGACCAGAAAACAGCAAAGACAAATGCTGGGGAAGTTAAGGCTATCAAAATTCTACTCCTCCATTCAGATTCAAAACACCCTGCTCCCTGCAGAGGTCTAGCTGCGCAGTGATTTCTGGGAGTAAGTTATCCTGTATACTAGGTGAGCACCCTTACTGAGAGGCCCAGTGTCCTTTCTTCCCCTGATTTTTGCTTCATGCAGCTTGAGTTCTCAGTGGATTTCACAGTCAAGTTTACTTTGGGAATACCAGGCCGTGATCCTCCCATGAAAGAATGAGGAAGGAGAGGTATGGAGCTGGATAATAACACAATCCAGATTAACTACTGGTGATGGGTGTGGAAATGTAGAAAGAAGGGCTTCCCTCAGCTGTTGATGAGTGCAGCCACCCTTTGTCCTGTCCCTCCCAAACAGGGGTTGAACAACACCCCATTCTTCCCATTCTTCCCTCTGAGCGGAGGACTGTCCATGAGACTATTCATGGGTAATGTATCACTATGGTTTGGATATCACTTTGGATGTTAAATGTCCCCAAGACCCTTATGTTACACGCTTAGTCCCCAGCATGGTGCTAGTGGGAGGTGGTGGAACTTCAAAGAGGTGAAGCCACTGGGAGCTCCTTAGGTCACTGGGTGCCCTTGGAAGGTAATTCCCACTAGAGAAGGCTGTTGTGAAAGCCTAAGTTGGTTCCAACTTCTCTCTCTGCTTCCCAACTCGCCATGTGATCTTTCCTCTATCTGGGCTCCCCCATTGCCATCCATTGCCTTCACAGAGCCCAAACCTATGGGGTCATTTGTCTTTTATTTATTTATTTATTTTTTGACAAGTAGAGTTATAGACAGTGAGAGAGAGAGAGAGACAGAAAGATCTTCCTTCCGTTGGTTCACTCCCCAAATGGCCACCACAGCTGGCGCTGCGCCGATCCGAAGCCAGGAGCTTCCTCCTGGTCTCCCATGCGGGTGCAGGGCCCAAGCACATCCTCCACTGCCTTCCCGGGCCACAGCAGAGAGCTGGCCTGGAAGAGGAGCAGCCGAGACTAGAACGGCGCCCTTATGGGGTGCCGGTGCCGCAGGTGGAGGATTAACCAAGTGAGGCACCGCGCCGGCCTGGGGTCATCTGATCTTTGAGTTGGACCTCCGAAACTGCAACTCAACAAACTTTTTATCTTTATATAGTTAGCTGCCTCAGGTATTTCTTTGTATTAATGAAAATTTGACTAATGCATGCATCAAAAGCAGGGGGGGCGGGGCGCGGGATTTGGCCAGTTGAGATGCCCATATCCCAAATCAGAGAGCCTGTATTCCATGCTTTCCTCTAGTTCCTGACTCGAGTTTCCTGCTAACACAGATCTTGGGAGGCACAGGAGATGGCTCAGGTATTTGGGTTCCTGCCTGGATTGAGTTCCTGGCTCCGGCCCCTCCCACTGCTGCGGTTGTGGGCGGTTAGGAAGTGAACCAGCAGGTGGACGTGTGTTTCTCTCCCCTCTCCCTCATCAAATAAATAAGCAATTTTTTAAATTGGAAGGTATGATAGGGAACAATATTAAACCCAAAGAACCACCCTGGTCCAACCTAGTTCTGCTTCTAAGCAGCTTCCCACGGGCCTCACTTTCCTCGTCCATCAGAAGTGTACAAACTGCTCAGTACCCAGTCTACAGCTCCCCAGAAAAGAGAAAACATGAGGTTTCTGTGATTTTATGTTGGATTTATTCTCCACTCATGAGTCATCAGTCAATTTCTCACTTTGCAAACACAAATTCCTCCCCAGTGATGGAAATTAAAGCACTTAATATCTTATTGGTGGATTGTACACTCTGAATGCTTGTATGCAGGGCTGTCTGGGAAGTTGAGGCAAAGGAAATGGCTCCTAAGTCCCTCCTGGGATCTAAATGGAAAACAAGACAGGCTATGACATCAGCTGCTATTTCCTCTGTGAGGAGACTAAATAATATAAATATCAATATTAAATTATGTCTACACACTCTTTATTACAGCAAATCCTTTGCTCTTAGCCTTTTAGGTTAGGTAGGAAGAACACAAAAGATGAACACAGAATTAGAGCATTTTAAAGTTTCTTTAAAGCATTAAAAGTGTCTTTAAATATTAGAATCAACCACTTTCATCATTCCAAGGAGGAAAAAAATAAGTGAAATAAAATGAAAAAAAAAAAAAGAGGTGAAATAGCTTGATCCAATGCTGCCTTCCCGTGGTATGTTCTGTCAATCTGTCTCATTTAGACTCACTGGACTTGGACAAGACCACCACCTACACGACAATAACAAATAAACAAATAGGCACTTTTTTAAAAGCCAAAGAAAGGAACCTGACCTCTTTCATTTAGTTTTTCCATCGCAACTAGAGAAGCCAGGCCAGGGGAAGATAGAATTCACTAGGATGACCGGAATAGCCCATTCTCCTAGACTACATCCAGAACAAATTCCTCACCCGAGACAGAGCTGCCCCCAGTCTGTCCATCACCTGCCCGTCTCTACGTGTGGGCAAGAACTAGATGCTTTAAAGGGCTTGGTGCTACAATAACATTCCGTTAACAGGCCAGCCCGTTACTACCATGCCACCTATCTGTTAAACACGTGCTGCTGGAAGTGATCACTGGAAGAATAAAATTCAAATACCAACAACCTGTTCTTTTCACCAAAAACCATGTTTGGAGCTAATGTTTCCCCTCTTCATTCTCTATGCATCTAGGCATCAAAACATCTCAGTAAACAAACCTGGCACTTCTACATGTGAACTGTGTATCTAAATTCAGCCAGTATTAGGAGTGCCACTGGAATCACATAGCAAGAGCTCATTCCTTCCCTGTTTGGTTTGCTTCACAATTCAGAGACGAGACGTTTTATTGTTACAGTCCTTCTCCCGTGATAAACACGTATACTGACTCCTGATTTCTGACTACATTTGATGATATCGTACTATCCCAAAATTCCAGACCAGCAAGTCCTAGATGACACAATTAGGATTCAAAACGCATGGACTGCTGGAACCGGAAAGGACTTTGGAGAGCAGGCACTCACATGCCCTCCCTGTACACAAGGCAATGGGGTTGCGGGGAAACAGACACTTGCTCCCCATCACAGAGCACAGAGCTAGTCAGGTCGGAGGCTTTCTGAACCCTCAGGACAGCCTGGCTAGAGGCCGCCCCTTCGCAGTCAGCCCCTCCCGTCCCAGAGCCACCTCTGCCGTTTCACCACATAAATTATAGATGCGAGAGGTTACTGAAGTTTGAATAAGCGGATGAGTTCCCTTTCTTGCCTCAGTGTCTTCCATTCTGTGAATTAAGAAGCTGGGCGTCCATGTTTACAGTTATCCATTGCCCCCATAGTAAACTGCTGTTCTAATCGATGCAAAACCCAGCGTTGCTGCAAATGTGCAGTCAAAAAGGAACACTCTGGTTTTGAACTCTGTGAGCTATTCAGGCGTCTGGTTCATGTCTAAGAATTCTGTACGGTCGGTTGGCACGCATAGCTTGGGGCAGTGGGAAATCTGGCAGCCTGGAACTCCTGTTCCGACGCCAGCGATGTCCATCCGCGCCAGCACTGAGCGCTGCAGACGAACAGGAGAGCAGTAGGGCCTAGGGGGGAAAAGGATTCAACTTGACCCCGTAATTACCGGCATTAGAACCCCGTTCCTTCATATCTCTCGGAAGAGGTTAGGCGGGGCACCTGATTGCTGGCCTCCCCACCTGGAACGTGTTGCTGAGCCTGGAACTTGCTTTATCCACGCGATGTTACTAAACCAATACAACAATGTGTAAGGACCAATGACCTCTAGAAATGAGCAATAAATCTGGCCCCGGGGTCCCACAGGCCCAACAAAGTATGAAATCCTGTTCTACCGTCCACTAGTCGTGTCATGTTCGGCAAGTTTCGCCATCTTCGTCTGTTTGAATTTGTCGTGGAAAATTTCAGACTCAAGATAGAAAACTGTAATAATGACCTAAAGCTATGTACTGATCACCGGCTTGTATACTTTTCAGTATTTTGCTAATATCCTTTCATTTTTCTTTTTCCCTTTTAAGTATTTGAAAACACATTGGGCAAGTTATTTTAAATTATCTCCATGCGTCAATTTTCTAATCTAGGAAATGAAGGCCATAATAAGCGACTCACGTAGTCAACAAATATTAGCTGTTATTAGCTAGGGCGCTAGCACTTCGCAGACGTCCGGTTTGAGAGAATCCGTGCCTGCGACGCTAAGATTGCGGTCGCCCCCTTCAGGCCGTCCTGTTCCAGAGCCGGCTCGGACCGCACGAAACTTGTCCCTCGCGAGCTCCCGTCGCTGCGCGCGGAAACGAAGGGGCGGAGACCGGAAGTAGGCTTGAGCCAAATTCCGGGTGCGAGGCGGCCACTGAGGAGGGGAGAGCGCACCGCTGCCAGCGGCTGGAAGCCGGTGAGGCCGAAGATGTTCCGAATCGAGGGCCTCGCGCCGAAGCTGGACCCGGAGGAGATGAAGCGGAAGATGCGCGAGGATGTGATATCCTCCATACGGAACTTCCTCATCTACGTGGCCCTGCTGCGAGTCAGTGAGTGTCCTCCCGGGCTGTGACAGTGAGCCGAGCGGGGAGCTCGCAGACAGCGCCCACTTAACTCTAGCCTTCCTGGAGCTCTTGGAAGCCCTTCAGGGAGCTGAGCTGAAGCGAGCGATCGCAGGGAGCAAGGGGCGTGCGCGTCGAGATCGGCGGGCGTCTGCGCCATGGAGGGTCCCGGAGTTAGGGACCGGGTCCCCAGGTGCACGTGGCGGCCCGGAGGCGCGAGGTTATTCTTGCCGGCTCACCGCGCCTTGAGAACACCGAATGGCTTCCCAAATTGTCCCCTGGAGCAGGTTGAGGTATCATAGACCCAGATTAGGAAAATAGCTCATCCAAGGTCATTCAACGGTTCAGTTGATGAACTTGACCTAAAATTCAGAGCTGCCGCTCCTTCCTTCGGTACTGACTTTAGAAATCCGAAAAGTTTGCTTCCGTCTTATTTATACAGAGGATGACGTAAATAATTGCTATTTTTTAAAGGAATGCAAGATAAAGGATATGAGTATATAGAATTAGTGAAAATATCTGAGGTTTTATTTGATCTTAGAGTTGGCAAGAAGTTATTTCCCTTCCTTGACAATGGGCGGCAGGGTCTCAGACTTTTTTAAATTTCTTTTGCAATTGAGAACTCGATTTCTCGAGGGGACTAGCAGAATTACAGGCACGCTGAATTATTCTAAGAGCCGAAAGCAGCCTTATGGACCAGTTCCTAATATGATCACCATCTCCCCGTCCCCGGCTCAGTATCCATACCTTTTCCTTGGTCAGTGCTGTGTGCTGTTGACTGATGTGGATGGGCAGGCAGGGGAAGAATGGAGGCCGGGCCAAGGTCATCCTGTAGAAGACTTCGTGAAGCTCAGGTCTCCTTTTCACCTTCTATGATGTTACTCAGCTTCCCCAGGAGAGGGAGCCTTGGGGAGTGGGAACGGAACACCCGAACCATCTGGCTCTTTGAACAACTTCCTGTTCCCAAATGTACATGTCTCCCCCTCTCAACCTTTTTCTCTCCACCTACCTCCCGGTGCAATATTTGCTTCGCCTCAATGATTTTTTTTTTTTTTAAGATTTATTTCATTTATTTGAAAGAGAGTTACAGAGAGAGAGAAAGGTCTTTCATCCACTGGTTCACTCCCCAAATGGCTACAATGACCAGAGCTGAGCCCATGCAAAGCCAGGAGCCGGGAGCCTCCTCCAGGTCTCCCACGTGGGTGCAGGGGCCCAAGGATTTGGGCCACCTTCTGCTTTCCTAGGTGCCTTGGCAGGGAGCTGGATTGGAAATGGAGCAGATGAGACTCGAACCAGGACCCATATGGGATGCCAGCTCTGCAGGCTGGGGCTTCAACCTGCTGCGCCACAGCCCTGGCCCCACACCTCAGTGATTTTTATGTTAGATGTGAATTGGTTTATTATTACTTAAGTGGAAATATAATTTGTATATTATATGATACACTCATTTAAAATATATACAGTTCTGTGGATTTTTGGCATAAAGTTGTGCAGCCATACCAAAATTTAGGAATATTTTCTTTCCCCCTAAGTGAACACCCTATCTGTTGGCTATCACCCCAGTTGGAGGTCAATATTTTTTATTTAACGTTAACAATATTCTGTAAGTGTTGAGAAATTCTGGCTGTATTTTTGGTGATAGCACTTCTGTTCAGGACAATATCACTTTTTTTTTTTTAAAGATTTATTTATTTATTTGAAAGGAAGAGTTACAGAGAGGGAGATCTCCCACCTACTGGCCCACTCCCAAAATGGCAGCAACGGCCAGAGCTGGACTGATCCGAAGCCAGGAGCTTCCTCCTGATCTCCCGTGTGGGTGCAGGGGACCAAGCACTTGGGCCATCTTGTGCTGCTTCTTCCAGGCTGTAGCAGGGAGCTGGATGGGAAATGGAGCAGCCTGGAATTGCAGGCTGTGGCTTTACCTGCTATGCCACAGTGCCAGCCCTGACAGTATCACTTCTTTGAATCCATATAATACCACTTAGCTTTCTAGACATTTCTATTTATATTTTCCTATTGAACTCTCATAATAACTGAAGTAAGACTTTATCAGATGTGGTTTGAGTATATACATTATAAGTAGCTAATCACAGGACCCAAAGAGGTGTCTAGTTTTGTTTTTTTTTTTTAAATAAGCTTGTCTGGTTTTTTTGTTTTTTTTTGTTTGTTTGTTTGTTTTTTAGATTTATTTGTTTACTTGAAAGTCAGAGTTACACAGAGAGAGAGAGGTCTTCCATCCGCTGGTTCACTCCCCAGCTGGCTGCAATGGCTGGAGCTGCACCGATCCAAAGCCAGGAGCTTCTTCCAGGTCCCCCATGTGGGTGCAGGGGCCTAAGGACTTGGGCCATTTTCCACTGCTTTCCCAGACCATAGCAGAGAGCTGTATCGGAAAAGGAGCAGCCAGGACTAGAACTGGTGCCCATATGGGATGCTGACACTTCAGGCCAGGGCGTTAACCTGCTGCGCCACAGCACCAGCCCCGTGGTGTCTAGTTCTTTATAGTTCTTTAGTTCAGTGTTGATTTCCTCTTCCCACTGCCTTCTTTCAAATGAATTTTTAAAGGTGAAAAATGCCAATTTGTTTCCCATAGAGTTTTATTCCTTTTATAGTCAAAATAAATCACTAAAGCAAAGGGTTGCCATTTGTAAGGGGATTGGACTTAATTGTGGCCCTAAGGCAGTGTTGGGGGGTACCTGGAGAAAAAATTTTGGAAACTGTGAGAATGAACTTGATAATCACAGCCAGTGAAACTGGAGTGGGCAGCTGTGGAAGGCAGTGAGTCCCTTTTACTGGGCTGACAGAGGCTTAGCCATCATTTGGAGGTGCTTTCAGAGTATGTTGTGATAAACAAGGACATAAGCCTCAGCCATTTTTGCTTTCTTGTTACCTCTGCCGCCTTTCATGGGATCAGTTCCATCTCACACCCGCATTGTTCCCCACCCCCAGCATTCTTCCCCAGGTTTGGAAGCGGGTGGGCCACATCTGAAGAACCAGTATGGAGAAGCTCATTTCCACCTACTGTCCCCCAACCCCCACCACTAGCCCACCTAAGGTATAAAAGGGCCCAGCCTGCTGGGGTCAGGGCCCCTGCCATGTGTCTGTGAGCATGATGGCAGTTGGTCAACCTCCGGATTTATTTTCCTCTGAGTAAGTTCAGTCTGACTGTAGGTTCTTATACTGTCCCTCCTATTCTGCACCTCTTTTCCTAATATGTTGAACCTATAAAATTTTTTTACCCAATCTTATAATTCTGTGTTGTGGCCTGGGGACTTAGAGATTTGAAAACTGATTTGGGGTTTGTCTGTTTTTCTTTCAGCTCCTTTTATCTTAAAGAAGTTGGACAGCATATGAAGATTGGGCATCACGCTTGGATGCATGAGATGAGCCTGGTTACGGTTTCTACTCCTTTCTGCAAATGAATAGGCCCAGAAAGGTGTATGAGACTCTGATTGAATGGACATAAAAATTCTACTTGTTAAGAACAAGTTTGGCTCTGGTAACAGACCTTCATAGCTCAAATCTCAATCTACTTAGGAAGTATGAGAGACGTGCAGTCCTAGTGTCCCTTCTGCCGTGACAGACCGTCCCCATGAATGTCGACGTCAGCGTAAAGAATGTCCAGCCCCATTCTCTAGCACGTATGAGTTATAAGGGAATCATGTCTGAAACAGCCCTGTCTTGTCAGTTGTTGCTGCCTACCTGTTTTATTTCTGTCTCAGCGGTATTTGTGCAGAGTCCCTTACAGTTAGTTATATTGTATGAAAGTCACACAGCCACATTGACATTTAAGCACAGGACCAGCAGTCTATATTTTTAATAAATGTATCAATTTTAAGCAATTGAGTTTTTATTTTTCTTATCCTATGATTTGCTGCAAGCCAGTAGCCATTGGTGAAACTCTTTTTGTAATTATTACCAAACTGCCTTAAGTTGAGTTAGTTGCTCTTGTTTTGGACTTGAGAATTTGCTCTTCTAGATAACGTGGCATTATATTTTATTGCCCAGCAGTCTTGGTGAAAGGTGGTATCATTGCTTGATGCCAAGAATATGTAATTCCACCAAAGTTAAAGATGCTAAGATGCTTTTTTTTTTTTTTTTTTTAAGAAAAGTTTTATTTATTTGAAAGAGTTACAGAGAAGGAGAGGCAGAGAGAGGGAGAGACATCTTCCATCTGCTGGTTTATTCCCCAAATGGCTGCAATGGCTGGGGCTGGGGCTAGGCCAGGCTGAAGACAGGAACCAGGTCTCCCATGTGGGTGCGGGGGCCTAGGCACTTAGGCCATCTTCCACTGCTTTCCTAGGCACATTAGCAGAGAGCTGGATCAGAAGCGGAGCAATTGGGAATCAAACCGGTTCCACATGGGATGCTGGCACCATAGGCAGTGGCTTTACCTGCTATGCCAGAGCGCTGACCCCAAAATACTATATTTTAACTCATATAGGTCTTCAAGTTTGTTGGGGGCAGAAGGTAGTCCTTAACCTTCTTCCCAGAAGAAAGAATATTCACTTTTGCTAATTACACTGGTATTTACTTCTGTGTTTCTGGATAGTATAATAGTATTGCTTCGAGATTTTTCTGTTTTAGAGATGGCCTTCTGACTCTTCAGTGTGTATCAGGACTTGGATTTCTCTTTTCTCCTCTTACCCTCATCACTCACACAGTTCTTGTCATTTCCCTTCCTTCCAATATACAATGCAGTGTGGTTTTGATTGGATTGATAGTATTAGGACGCTAGGTGCTTTGTGGTTTTCTTTTTGTTATTCCTGAACTTCTCTGTGAACTTTACACTACATCTACTAAATGTTCTGCCATTTATTTAACTTGCTCACAGTGTTCACTTTCACTGCAGACTGTTGGCTTTCCCGAGTTAAGTCTTTTCCTAGAGCCTTCTGACCTGTCCCTGTCTGGACTGACAGCCTGCTATGCCTATGTCTTTATGTGTGCCAGTAATCTGGTGGGGACTTCCTTCACCATCTTCTTGGGAGTTCCTTTTCCTTTCTTCTCTTCCATGTTGGAGTTAGCTTATCCGTTTTTGTTTTGTTTTGTTTTGTTTTTTAAGATTTATTTTATTTATTTGAAAGATAGAGCTATAGAGAGAGGTAGAGACAGAGAAATTGAGGTCTTCCATCCACTAGTTCACTCCCCAGATGGCCGCAATGGCCGGAGCTGCGCCAATCCAAAGCCAGGAGCTAGGAGCTTCTTCAGGTCTCCCACATGGGTGCTGAGACCCAAGGACTTGTGCCACCTTCTGCTGCTTTTCCAGGCCATAGCAGAGAGCTGGATCAAAAGAGGAGCAGCCGAGACTAGAATCGGTGCCCATATGAGATGCTGGCACTTCGGCCAGGGCTTTAACCCACTGCACCACAGCCCTGTCCCCTATCCTTTTCTTTTTTTCTTTTTTTTTTTTTTTTCTGAAAAGGTAGAGAGACAGAGATCTCCCATGTCTGCTGGTTCACATGTCTAATTCCTGCAACAGCTAGAGCTTGGGTAGACTAAAGCGAAGAGCTGAGAACTCAGTCTAGATCTTCCATGTGGGTAGCAGGGATCCAACTACTTGAGCTGTCATCTGCCATCTCCTAGGGTGCACATTAGCAGGAATCTAGAGCCAAAAATGGAGCCAGGACTTAAACCCAGGCATTCTAATTTAGGATGTAGGCATTCCAAATGGTGATTTACTGCCTATACTAAAGGTCTGCCCCTACTCTATCTTGCATTTTATGATTGATTTGTTTATTTGAAAGGCAAAGTAACAGAGATATTCCATCTACCAGTTCACTCCACAGATGTCCACAACAGCCAGGGCTAGGCCAGGCCAGAGCCAGGAGCTCCATCTGGGTCTCCTGTGTGGGTGAAGGAACCCAAGTGCTGCCTTGCAGGTCCATTAGCAAGAAGCCGGATTGGAAGCATGGAGTAGCCAGAACTCAAGCCAGACAAGCCAACATGGGAAGCGGTGTCCCAAGTGGGAGTTTAACCCACTGCCACAATGCTCTTGTTTTGATGAAGCCCGGTCTCCAGCAGCATCCTGAGAAAGTCCATAAAAAAACCTTATTTATCTGAAGATGTCTTGTTTTTTCTATCTATATACTCATTTGATAGTTTGCTGATTATAGAGGTCCAGGTTAGAAATCACTTTCCTTTTAATGCGTTATACCATTGCCTCTAGCTTTCAGTGTTGCCGTTAGAAATCTGAAACCATTTTGATTTCTAATCTTTCTGTGGGACCTAAATTTTTTTTCTCCCTGAGAAACAGGGATCTTTTGTCCCTAGTATTATATTTCATGATGACATACTTCGGTGTGTATTTATTTTAATTCTTTGTGCTGGGCACTTACTGAACCTGTTTAAACTTGAAACTGTGTCCTTTAGTTCTCAGAAGTTTTGTAAATTTTTATTAATGGATTCCTCTATTCTCCCTCTTCTCATTGTAGAATTTCTTTTTCTTCTATAGTATATCTTATCTAAAATTGCTCTTCTTTGTTATTGTTTCATGTTAGATGTTTTCTTTGGGTATCTGGCATTCTTGGTTGTCTACTTATATTTGAAAATATGGGAGAGGCAATGCACCTGGGCTCCATCCAGCAGTGCCTGAATTTGTTATCAGACTCCATCCTGACTGATTCCAACTTCACAGACCCTGGGAGGCAGCAGTGGTGGGTTGGTAACTGGGGACCTGCCACCCACATGGGAGACCTGAATTGAGTTCTGTTCCTACCTTTGGTTCCAGCCAGGGTACAGGCAGTTAGGGAGTGAACCAGCGCATGGGAGCTTGCCCATGCTGGGGCTGGTGCTTGCGCTTTCTCTCGCTCTCTCGCTCTCTTCCCCACCCTCCTCCTCCATATAAATAAATAGGGGACTAACTCCTGAGTGGGTGGAACTTATTGATGTTGAACTTTTGACTAAGAGTGGTCTGCTGGGCCATTTAATTGAGAAAGCTTTGTGTCAGTATCTTTATGTATTTCCTATTGAGCTGGTCATTCTTTAGAGAAGCAAGACTTTTTCAGTCTCTTAAGTGAAGAATGAAGGCCTTGCCAGTGTTTTGGGAGTCAAGCGAGGGAAGAGCTGTGATGAGGCCCAAGGCAGAGGAGTGTGTGTCTTAGTATCCAGTGTGTGCCTGCTCGCTGAGTGTGTTCTGAGCACATTACTGTTACTCAGCCTGCCTAGTAGCCCACAATCCAGACACCCTGTACTTTATGCATTTCAGAAAATAGGCTTACAGTATGGAAAGGGAGCTAGGGAAGAGTGGCAGAGAGCATCTAATTACTTAAACCTTTAATCCATTCTTATATATATATATATAAGTAAATATATAGACAAAGAGAGCTTCCATCTGCTGTTTTACTTCCCAAATGTGTATAAGAGCTGGGGCTGGGCCAGTCTGAAGCCAGGAAGTCAGTCTGGGTCCCTTGTGTGGATGGCAGGACCCAACTACCTGCTGTCACCTGCTATCTCCTAAGGTGCACATTAACAGAAAACGAATCAAGAGCAGAGCCCAGGCTTGAACCTAGGTACTCTGACGTGGGAAGCCAGTGACTAAATCACTGCCAAACACCTGCCCCGGGTTTTGGTATCTACCTCTTCTCTACTTCCAGAGACACATGAAACCACCAGTAACTGGGCCTTTTGGGATTCTGTGATATAAAATGGGTTGTTTCCTCCCTCACCCCTGCCCTTTTCCTACTGCTGGCTCAGAATTCAGTTTTCTTGAGTTTACTACGATATGTACCACTTTCTCATCTGCTTTCTAGCTTTTTGTAGTTGTTACCTCTTATATTCTTTTAGGCTTATACCTTAAAACAAACAAAATCCTTTACTGTCATTTAGTTGGATCTCAGGAAGGAGTGGAAGTAGATCCCTAGGCTTCATCCACCGTCTTTACCC